TCCGGAAACTCCTCATCCTCCTCGGCGTCGTCGTACACCAGGTCGTCGTCATCGTCCACGTCATACACCGTGGTGAAGGCAGCGGGGACAAAGAAGTCAGGCGGCCTCCGAAGTCGGCCTGAACGTCGCGGTCCTTGCTGGACCTTCGCGGTGTCCCCTCCATCGTCACTGTCGTCACTACTCTCGGCGTCCTGCTGCTCCTCAGCCGGCATCCCAGCTGACTGCTCCACTGTGGTCGGCTTCCCAGCCGACTTCTTCCCTGTGGTCGGCTCCCCTGCCGACGTCCCAGTCGCCGACTGCTCCGTGGTCGGCTTCACGACAGCCTGCTCCCTTGTCGGCTGCTGCTCCCCGACCTGCTCCTCCCCTGTCGATTTCAATCCCTCGTCGGTTCGCCGCTCGTCACGTCGGCCACTGGCGATGCACTTGGCCGGCCCCGAAGGCGGCATCCCACTACTCCCCTCATTGCCGGAGGCCGACACCGAGGTCAGCCCACGCAGGTCGGCCACGAGGGGAGGAGTAGGGGTCAGAGGGAAAGGGGTAGAGGTGCGGACGGCCTCGACGTCCTCAGTAGCAAGCTCGCCAACCTCGGCTAGCAGCGGCAGCGTCGCCGACGAGGTGTCAGAGGGCGTGGTGGACAGTGAGCGGCCGGGCACCGGCCCATGCTCTGTCTTCCACTCAGCTAGCGACACCTCCTCGTAAAACACCACGTCCAAAGTGGTGACCACCCGGTTGGTGTCGACGTCGAGGAGCTCCCAGCCCTTGCTCGCCGCCGACACACCAAGGTACAGGCCCCATCTGGCCTTCGGCTGCAGCTTCCCACCGCGCTGCTGCTCAGGAACAAGGAACTGCGCCATGCAGCCCCACACCCGCGCCAGCGACAAGTCGGGCTTCTTCCCAGTCAGCAGCTTGTACGGCGTCCTCCCCGGCGGCAGCGTTGACCTCTCCAGGCAGTTGCGGACCCAGACGGCCTGCCGCAGAGCGAGGTGCCACCAGTGGTGCTGCACGCCCATATGCAGCAGCATTGTCCGCACCGACTCCACCACCGTCCTCATCTCCCGCTCCGCCATGCCGTTCTGCTGCGGGGTATATGGGCAGGTCAGGTCGTGGACGATCCCCTTGTCGTTCACGAAGTCGGTGAACTGCTTCCCGAGGAACTCCCCTCCCCGGTCAGAGCGCAGCATCAACACCGACTTCTTCGTCTGCCGCTCAGCCACCGCCAGCCACTGTACGAACGCCTGCAACGCATCGCACTTCTTGGCGACCGGCTTCACCCACACGTAGCGGGTCTTGCGGTCCTTCAGCAGCAAGAAGTACAGGCTGCCATCCTTGGCAGCCACGCGAAACGGCCCGCACAGGTCGATGTGCACGACGGCCAGCACGTCGTCGGCGTCGGAGCCTTGGTCGGGGAAGGTGTGCCGCGCCAGTTTCCCACCGACGCACGAGACACACGGGGAGTCGGCATCCATCGCCGACTTGAGGTCCAGCCCAATGGCGACCTCGTTCTTCGCCGAGCTCCGTATGGTGTCCATGCGGACGTGCGCAAGCCTCGCATGCATCCGGTCCGGCGTCGACTTTGTTTTCGAGACGATCGCCCGCAGAGCCACCACCTCCATCGTGGGCGGCGTCGACCTCGTCGCGCAGGGACGCAGGTCGGTGCAGAGGACTCGTCCAGAGTACGTCGCCCTCCCGAGCACCTCCCCTGCTGCTGAGACGAGCAGCATGCCGTCTCCGTCCTCCTGCAGCTTCACGCCGTGCTCCTTCAGCTGGCCGGCCGACAGCAGGTTGGCTCGCACACCCGGGACGTACAACACGTCGGGGATGAGCACCTCCGTCCCGGACTCTCCTTGCAGGGCGATGGTGCCGCAGCCCTGGACATCTTGCAGCGCCCCATTGAAGCCGCGCACATGCCTGATGGCGCCGCTCGGCTGCAAGTCGACGAAGGCTTCCTTCGTCCCCATCAGGTGGTGGGAGCAACCACTGTCGAGCAGGACCACGGCCGGGTTTGCTTGCACAGCTGCCGCCACCGCCTGGAAGTCCTCTCCGGCCTCCGGCGCCAGAGAGATGGTCGACTCCACGACGCCGACCAGCGAGCACGACGCCGTCTTGTCGTCTCGCCCCTTGCCGCCTACAACGGAGTCGGCGTCCTTCGCCGAAGTCGATGTCTTGGTCGACTGCTTCTCCTTGCGCGGTTGGTTGTCTCCACGACGAGGACGACGGCTGCCAGACCTCCCACGGCCGCCCTTGTTGTCGTCGTCGGAGTCACTGCGGTCGGGACACTCAAAGGAGAGGTGATCGGGGCTGCGGCAGATCCAGCACTCCCGTCGTCGACCTCCTCCTCCTCGACCGCCGTCCTTGGCCGACTTCTTCTTGTCGACATCCTTGGCCGGCTTCCAGCCACTGCTACCACCATTGCCAGACTGCCCGCGCTGTCCCGGTCAGCCTCCTGGCTTCGCTGAGGTGACCAAGTTCGCCTGCGCCAAGAGCTCCTGTGACTGCTCAGCCTCCTGCATCGCCTCGTCCTGCAGGATGTACGAGGTCAGGTTGTCCTCGTTGAGCGTCGCCCTCGTGCTCGGCGCCATAGACAGCCGCTTCAGTAGGTTGTAGCTGCTAGAGAGACCCTGCATGACATGGGTGATGTACGACGCCGTGGAGTACTGCGCGCCGGCCATCCTGATGGTGGCGAGAATTCGCCTGGCTCGGTTGCAGTAGTCGGTCGCACTCTCCTCGTCGCCCATACGCACGTGCGTCAGCTGTCCCTCCAGCTGGGCGATGAACAGGTCGTCGGTGACCTGGTACGTCGACCCAATGAACTGCCACGCCCGGTGGCCAGCGTCGAGGTACTCCCGGCACCACTTCAAGGCGATCTGCACACACGGCGAGCAGCACCGTGAGATGACCGTGAAGGTCAACAGCTGCACGGCGCAAAACTCCGCACGCAGGTCGGGGTGGTGCTCCCCCGGCGTCGCCACGGTCCCTCTGGCGAAGCCGATCAGTCCGGCCATCTCCAGCTGGGGCTCCATGGCTTCCTTCCAGGTGAGAATGTCGGGTCAACCGACCAGCGGAGGGGTGACCGAGATCCTGTCCGGCGTAAACTTGAAGTAGCCGTAGCTCGGTGCAATCCCACCTGCCGTCACCTGGGACGCCGACATCGGCGACAATCCGCTTCGTCGTCCTCCGACGTCGCCCTGCGAGGAGCCTGCAGCCGCCGACGACTGCACCCCTCGCGTCTGAACGCCGCCGACTTCACCGGCGTGTATCACACCTTGGTGCCTTGACGTGCCTCCCGCACTGCTGCCGACTTGATCACCACCGGCGTTGACGCCCACGTCGACGCCGCCGTCGTTGTTCACCGGTCGAGGAGAGGCAGGTCGAGAAGGGGGGTGCTCCGCCGCCCACACGGAGCGGAGTCCGGCTTTGACGACTGCCCAGGGTATCGCCCCATACTCCTGGGCCTCATGGCGTCTCCTCGCATCCTCGAGCCGTCCCTCCAGGGTGTCCATCACCTCGGCGTCGCCTGCGCGCACGCTAGTGATTGCACGGCTGCCGGTCTACGAACACGATCGGGATGTGCTAAGTCGGCTAGACTGAGCTACGTCGTGGTGTCTTCCACGCTCACCGCACCATGTGGAGATAAGTGCAGCAACGGGAGCTAGGCTGCGGGCTAGGCACGTGTGCTCGTGTGATCTCTGCGTTCTCTGTTCCTTAGTCGTTTCCTTGTGCACACACTACTTGCTAGTTCACGGGGAAAATTGGCAAGAGTTTCACTAGGAAAAGTTCAGAACAATTGGTACAATGAAGTTGGCATAGCAAGACTACATCAGAGCAAGCATTCAGGTCGGCCAACTGCCAGCGCAGCTTGGTCGACCGCGTTCCAGCACGACTTGGTCGACCGCACTCCAGCAAGGCAAGGTCGACGGCGTGCCAGCGTTGCTAACGCAGGACAGTAGTGCACCCGCTTCGCAGGTGTGTGTAGCTGATTGGCGTGCAGAGTCCCGTCACCTGCACAGCGCACACTACATGTCAACCTCGAGCTGACGACTGCCTCTGGTCTACCACGATGACCTCGGGATACCACCACCGAGGTCGTGCTCGCCAACTTCGCCTGGGCGACCGTCGCACTCCTTCGCAGCACTTCGTCACCCAGGTAACCTGGTCGACAAGGCAACCACGTCGACCAGCAGCTCCCGTCCGTCGACCTCCCAAGTCGACGACCACCTCCACGACGACCTTACCACGTCGACGACACCATCGGTCGACCTCCTCCAGGTCGACGTCCCCTCTGGTCGACCAGCTCCACGTCGACCAGCACACTCGTCGGCCGACCACCCACGTCGGCCACCCACAGCTGGCGTCGCGAAGTTGACGCCCCTGCTACTCGACGCCCGACTGCTCGGCGTCTTGCGTAAAGGTCGACGTCGGTTCCTCCTTCGTCGACCACCAGTTCCAGTCGACCACCCACAAGTCGACCAGCGGTCCGTTAGCCGACCGCCAAAGTCGGCTTCGACGTCCTCCGCAGGTCGACTCCCAAGTCGACCTCCCCGAAGTCGGCGCCACCCAGAAGTCGACGCCCGTGCAGTGGTCCCCCGTGCCGGTCGACCTCCTCGTTGACCAGCTCACCCACTGCTGCAGGTCGGCTGCTCCCCTCACACCCGACCACGAAGTCGGCTCCGCCCAAGCGAGGACGGGGCCAATACCCAACTCCTGTTGACAGAAGGTGCCGACGGAAGGGGTGTTGGAGCGGGGCAAGGGGAGGGGAGGCTGGTCGAGGCAGCGGGGGGCGGAGGGGGCTTTCTGCTCGTGCTGGGCAGAGCCAATATGGACGAGGGGCTGAGAGGGTACCTCACTAAGGAGTGTTTGGATGGAGCATGTCTGATTTATGGCTCAAGAAGGTGAAGCAGTATAGAGGGAGCATTGCGTGCTGGGCAGTGCCAATGTGGACGAGGCCCTGCGAGGGTACCTCACAAAGGTGAGGGGGATCATGGTGGTTTTGCATTGATCGTATGGTGCGATTGAGTAAAGGGAGTGCTGCCCGTCCGCACAGGTCTGTCTTTCACCTATTCGTGCTGGGCAGTGCCAACGTGGATGAGGCTCTGGGAGGGTACCTCACCAAGGTGAGATGATGGGGGGCATTCACTAACACGTGAATCTAGAGAGAGCATGCACGGCATATCACAGTCTCCGTCCCTGATCCACCAATTCGACCGCTCGTGCTGGGCAGTGCCGATGGGGACGAGGCTATGAGATGGGACCTCACTAAGGTGCGTATGCTTGTGCCATGGCCGTCTCACTCACCAGGGTAAGGTTAGCAGTTTGCATTACTTGTTACCATATGAATTAAAGCTAGGCACTGCCAATGCGGAGGATGCCAGGAGACGACCTCCCGTCTTCCATGGTGGAATCACCACGCTGCTATTGGCACGCGGCACTTGTTGGAAGGCACGAGCCACCAACCCCCCCTAAAACCACTGTCTCCTCCCTCTGTTCCCATCCCACTAGTACGACTGCAGCAATTCCGACATCAACCTCATGGGCGGAATCAGCAAGGCGTAACTAAGGTTCCTCGCTTGCTGCGTTGGACACCACTCTACCTCACTTTCGCCTCAACTCTCCCGCTCCCATCCCTTCATCCAACCACTGCTCCCCCCCCTCCCCCCCCCGCTCCCCCCCCCCCCCCCCCCCTCCCCCACCGCACCCCTCCTCCCATCAGTACGACTGCATCAGCGCTGACATCAGTCCCATTGGCGGCATTTGCAAGACGGACCTCCCTCGCTTGCTGCGTTACGGCAGTCCACCTTGACTTCGCCTCAACTCAACAACACTCCTAGTCTCCCATCCATTCATTCCTATCCTAGCCCCATCCCCCACCTCTCGTCCCACCAGTACGACTGCAGCAGTACGCTCACGCCTTCCTACCGCGCTGAGGTGACTACTCACTCACCTACCCGTTTTCTCGCTCTTATCTAGCATGCCCAGGTAACCATTGTCTTCCCTTCCTGTAACCCTGAATCTCTTGTTCTTGTATGACGAAGCATCTTCCGCTTCTACTCCATCAATCGCCACGAGATGACCACGCCCTCTTACCATGCCGAGGAAACCCCACACTCTGTCAACACGCTCACTTTCTCGCGCACTCCTACCACGCCCAGGTGCTCCCTCACTCCCTCATCCCCCGTACCCTCAGCTCTCAATTCCTTGTTCCCTAAGGGGCATCTCCTTTTCCACTGCCATCCTCCTATCCACCTTCACAATGCATCTCTCGTAAGGCAACATCCACGCTGAAACCTCACCTCCTCTTTCATTCATCATCGGCAACAGATTGGCGTATTGCTCTCCCCGCCTCCCACCACTACGTGCATAACTTCTCCCCCTGGATTGATCGCTGCATAAATCCATTGACCTACGACAGTCGCTGTGCATGCAACATGTCATGCCCACACTCCCCGCCTTCCTTGCCTCCGCCCACCATATATCTTCTCCCTTGTCGGCTTTCCTCAGAAACCACTCTCCTGAGGACAACTGGATTGACCTGTGGCAGTTCCCATGCAGCATGGCAGTTCCCATGCAGCATGTGGCTGTCCCACTCCCCACCTTCCTTGCTCCTCCACCCCCGTAATCCCAAACTCATCGCTTCTCCCTTTCCACTTCTAGAACTTTCAGAACAACCGCTTTGTACAGCGAGCCATGGCCACACTCACCACCTTCCTTGCCTTTCCCCTTCCTACCACCCCCTCCCACCCCCACCACCTCTTTGGCAGAAATACTCCCCGAAGGACAACCGCTTTGATCTGAGGCAGTTCCTGTACAACGAGTGGTGGTCCCACTCTCCCCTCCCCCACTCCCCTGCTCCCCGGCTCACGTGCTCGGCCTCCCCCTGTTCAGAACTATTCACCAGAGGACAACCGGTTTGATCTGCGACAGTTGATGTACAACGTGGCATGGCCGTGGGAGTTGAGTCGACTCAAGCGTGGCATGGCCGTGGCAGTTGAGTTGACTCAAACGTGGCATGGCCGTGGCATGGCTGTGGCAGTTCAAGCGCATTCACCAACTCGTGGTGGAGCATGAGGCTGTTGCCACCGCCACTACTGTTGGCGCTGCTGTAGTGGAGGGCATAACAGCACCAGATGCTGCAGCAGGAGGAGGAGGAGGTGTGGAAGGTGAAGGCGCAGGGAAGAGGAGGACGTTGGAGATGAGTATTGACAATGATGATGGTGTTCTGGTGTTAAGAAGCTGAAGAAACTCCAAGCTGTGTCGTAGCACAGCATGCTCTGGGGTGCACTAGAAATATACCTACCCGTACATCTCACCCTGCATTACCCGTAGCGCGGGGATGCGAGAGGGCACATTTATACCGTATGTGCACTTTGCTTGCACCGTGGCGTGATGGCGAATGTTGATTTGTGAGAAGGGTAATCTAGACACATGTTTGGAATGGAGACAGCATTGCTCTGCTCGATTGTAGCAAGTTGCATGGAAAGATGTGATTCTTCCTCCACTTAGCACTTAGATCTGTGCTTTGAAAAAAGGGCACTGCTTTGGAAAATCTTGACAGAAGATGTGATCATCAAAAGTGGGCAGGATGGAGGCTAGCTGGTGGACAGGGCCCAAAATTGGTTTTAGGCCACCTTGCCTAATCTCGGTCTCAGCCTGTCCCACCCTGATGGCCTAGGGTAAAAATTCTGATACGCTGGCAAATACAGGCTAAACAAGAGGCGACAAAATTGTCTTAGGGTTGCAAAGCTGTTTTGCAAAATATTAGTAATTGGTTTGGTTTCATCTTATATGGAATGTTAAAACTTCGTAAGGCCTTTTAAGTAAAATTTCCAGGTATGGCCGCTCAAAGGATCGAACCTTCGAGCTCCCGCTATTAAGATGCACTTCGATCGACTGCGCTACACAAGGTGAGCTACAAGTTTGCTAAAAAATATAATCTATTTTAAATTGCGCGTGAACTGATCTAGGGTTTCGTTTTCATTTTCCTCTTCCTCCCTTCCTCTCGCGACTGGAGCCTTGCCTCCCGCTACTCAGGTCAGGAAACTAAGATGCCACCTAGAACTTAATTAGCTGATGTTAACATCTAAGCTCGTATTATACCGTAGTCATTTACCTACTTCAGCGCATCTCGTGGTAGCATTCAGGTCGTTGATAAGCGTGCATCCCTCTATTCATTTATTCCGTTTTCAAGCCTGTTCCCACATAGCAGTATGTCGTTTTACTTTCATTTGTTTATATCGCTTTCAAGAGCTGCAACCCATTCTGCTACGCTTTTTTGAATGGTTGCAGCTAATTCGATTGAAATGCTAGTAATGCTACGATCCTTAGATCTACTAGCTAGGTTCGTTTTAAGCTGTTGTTGATTAAATTTGATCTAATCTTTTGTAGCTCTTTTATTTGCTTCTGTCTCCCACGATTTGCTTGCAGGAAACGGCCGACCTCATCGTTGTCTCACTCCCTCGTCTTATTAACGGTGAGTTAGTGTTTGAACTGCATATTGGGAAAGAAAGAGGGGGAGAGCAGAAGAGCGCAGAAGCTTAGACGAAAGAGAGCGTGTGAGAGAACGAAGACGAACTCTCTGTTTTTTTGTTAGAGCCGCTGGCCATTTCGACCCGTTGACTCAACGATATTCTGACGATTAAATCAGAAGAGATAGTGGATTCTATGGCAGTAAGATTGCACACGAGACAATGGAAAAAAACATGTAGTTGTCAGAGTATTATAACTGATGCATGTTTGTAGGCTATAGTGGGGTAGCACATATGGGGTACAGCTTTCTAGGGTTGTATTTGTACCCAGCTCTGACTTAGTCATTCCATTCCTGTTCATTCCTTTCACATGGTATAGAGCGGGTCCCTCCTAAGGACCGTTTTTTTTGAAGGGCCCACCCACGATTTTTTTTCCTGCCCGGAGCGCGCCCTATTCTCCCCGAGGCGCGCTCCCCCCTAGTGCTTGTCGCGCTGCCCTTGTGGCGCCCCGAGAGTCGCGCGCGCGACTCCTTTTTTTTCGCGCACGCGGCCTGGGCCCCACGTCGCGCTGGCCTTACGGCCGCGCCGCGCCGCCCTCTCGGCTCTGCCGCGCCGCGCCGCCCTGACACCGGCCGCGCGGCCTCTTCGTCGCTGCAGCGGGCCCCGTCACCTGACGGCCCCGCCGTCCTTCTCCCGGCCCCGCCGCTGCACCCTGCCGGCCCCGCGGCTGCACCTCTGTCGGCCCCGCCGTCCCCTGTCACGGTCCCGCCGCTGCACCCTGACGGCCCCGCCACTGCACCAGTCGGCCTCGCCGCTGCACCCTGACGGCCCCGCCGTCCCCTGTCCCGGCCCCGCCGCTGCACCCTGCCGGCCCCGCCGCTGCACCCTGACGGCCCCGCCGTCCCCTGTCACGGCCCCGCCGCTGCACCCTGACGGCCCCGCCACTGCACCAGTCGGCCTCGCCGCTGCACCCTGACGGCCCCGCCGTCCCCTGTCCCGGCCCCGCCGCTGCACCCTGCCGGCCCCGCCGCTGCACCCTGACGGCCCCGCCGTCCCCTGTCACGGCCCCGCCGCTGCACTCTGCCGGCCCCGCCACTGCACCCTGACGGCCCCGCCATCCCCTGTCCCGGCCCCGTCCTGCACCCGAGCCGCCCTGCCGCCGAGCCGCCCGGGAGCCGAGCAGCCCTGCACCCGAGCCGCCCTGCCGCCGAGCAGCCCGGGAGCCGAGCCGCCCTGCACCCGAGCCGCCCTGCCGCCGAGCCGCCCGGGCGCCGAGCCGCCCTGCACCCGAGCCGCCCTGCCGCCGAGCCGCCCGGGAGCCGAGTCGCCCAGCAGCCGAGTCACTGAGTCGCCGACCCGCCCTTCTGCGGAGTTTCCCGGCCTACCCTGCCTGGTGAGCACGGTCGCACTGTCACTGCGCGCTCTTCCCCTAGTGCTTGCATTGCTTCGCTGTCGTCGTCATGGCTACCCCTAGTGTCCTAGCTTTTGACGCTGAGGGTCGCGCCATTGATTTTGAGGTCTGGTTAGACGACCTGCAGCTGTTCTTACAGTGCGACAGAGCTGACGACCTTTCTCTCTTTGACCTCACCTCTGGCGCCTCTCCTGCTCCTGCTACTGATGCTGATCCCACTATCCGCTCTCAGTGGGCCACTCGCGATGCTGCTGCACGTCTTGCTGTGCGTTGCCACCTCCCTACCTCTGAGCGTGCGCACTTTAGTCAGAACAAGAGTGCTCATACCTTGTACGACGCTGTAGTTGCGCGCTACTCCTCCCCTGCCACTGCTGCACTGAGCCGTCTCATGCTTCCCTACCTCTTTCCTGACCTCTCTGCCTTTCCCACTGTCGCTGATCTCATTACGCACCTCCGCACTAGTGACACTCGCTACCGCGCCGCCCTTCCTGCTGAGTTCTGCGCTAAGAACCCACCCCCCATGTACATCGCTCTCTACTACGTAGTCGCGCGTCTCCCTGACTCCCTTCGCGTCGTCAGGGACCACTTTCTCGCAGTCTGTCCCACCACCCTCACCGTCGACCTCCTCGAGAAGGCCCTCCTCGCAGCGGAGAAGAGCATAGTCGTTGTAGGTGCTTCTCGTGGTGACCCTTGCACCCCCATCTTTGAGGGGTGCTCTCCCTCCCCCTTGCTGCCCTCTGTTGCCTCTGCTGCTGCTGGCGACCTGCTTGGTCTTGAGTCGGTCGGCGCGGCGTCTGCCCCTAGTGGGAGACGTCGCTCCAGCAAGGGCAAGGGGGGCAAGGGCGCGGGTGGAGCTAGAGGGGGCGGTGGCGGTGGCGGCGGTGGCGGCGGAGGGAGTGGGGGTGGCGGCGGGACTAGTGGCGGGGG